TTGAAGTTCTCCCATCTCTTAAAAGACTGAAGCAGCGAATTACTGCAGCTGGTCGTGGAGAATATGATGCTGTTTTTATGTCTGGAAGGTATAGAAACGGGTAACTTTAATTTTTTTTAAATTTTCTGGCTTTTGTTAAAAGTTAAATAGATGTGAATCACATGATAGAGATCATTGGGCACGCACACACATTTGCAATCTTTATTCTCGTATGTGACTGCAATGTAAGATTGAGCATTCTTCAAACTTCAGCACAATTGAACTTGATATACAGTAACGAAGCTGTTTCAATTTTTAATCTCTGAATCGTGTATTGAAGAAAATGTTTGAGCATAATATATGCTCTAGCATCTATAGTTGCCAAAATTCTTCAGATTCCTTCTCTAGATTCCAGTTATAAGATAACCAAGGAGATTACAGTCGGTTGAATTATTGGACAGGTGGCTACAAACTAGACAAGGCATATGGTTTTTGATCTAACTCATTTGTTCTTCTAGTCTAACATCATAATAATTTAATTTTTAATATATCCATATATATTGCATATGTTTTTGTCACAGTTGCCTCATGATTACGAGGAACTTAGTAATTCCACACATCAGCGTCAATCTATGTGAAGCAGTGAACTATGGATTGTTAATAAGATGACCGGAAATAGGCTTAGAACCATCTCGACAAATCCTCCAAAGTGACATGTGAATATCAACTCTGTCACAGGCACCATGTTGAAATGCATCCATATGCATTTCTGGATTAATTTGCCTTATGCCAATCTAAGTTGGAGGACTTATTATGAGCATGAAACATTGGTTTAGAGATGACCCTGAAGCATTGTGATAAAATATTTAACCTAAGCTCTTCTAGGTGATGAACCAATCCTGTTGGAAATTTGAAATGGCAGGTGAAAACTTACAGTTTATCTTCCAAAATTCTCTGTTTTCTTTGAGGCTTACACAGCAACAATAATTTGTCATAAGTTGGTATTTGTGCATAACAGACATGCTCTCTCTTTTCAATTATCCCTGTGTAATTTCCTTGAAAATGATTACCGATTGCTAGTCACTGGTTTTTTTTTTTTTTTTAAATAGGATATTAATCTTGTGATGTAGATAGTCATCATATGACTCGATGTGGCTATCTTTACCAACTGATGTTGCCTTCTTTGTGAACATAACGTAGGCAATTATGTCGTTGGATAAAGTTATTATTATATTATTATTATTATTTACCTATAATTTGACCTCCAGGTCTACCACTGAATTGGGGGGAACTATGATCTCCAGTCATATTACGTCCTATGTCACTGGATAAAGTTGTTATTATTATTATTACCTACAATTTGACCTCCAGGTCCACCACTGAATGGGGGAAACTATGATCTCCAGTCATATTACGTCCTATGGCTGATTTTTGTTGTGTAGTGGCCACTTAAATCAAATTAACTCACCAACCCACCAGAACTGCTTACATAGCAGAGTCACTTCACAGCGTTGAATTTAATTAGTAATTGAATGAGCAGGGGCACAAGTGGAGGAGATCGAGACAATCAAACTATCACTTTCATTTTATGTATTGAACCAATCTTCCTGGCAGTTTAGGTTAACAGGAGAGTTATCAGAATTACACATGGACCCAGAAGATAAAGGTAAATCTAAGAATTAATAAAAGAAACTAAAGAAGCCTCTTGAGGATAGCTCAGGTGGTAAGAGTAGGATTGGATGTAACAATGTGGGTAGAGATCTAGGGCTTATACCCATTTAGCGTGACCCAAAAAAACATCTCAAGGTCACAAGTAACTAGCTTTCGGTACTATGTTAGTAAAGCAAATAAACAATCATCAAAGAAAATTGAGTCTATTCTTCCATGATTTTGCCAAAGTTGTTCATGAAATTGCAGAAAGAATGTTTTAGCCTCATTTCCTTGCTTTCTGCTGGTTGGATGGAGTTTATCATAGTGCATTTGGCTTAGATCTTTGTTTCAAGGCTTCAAAATAGTTAAAAGTTTTGGTTGAATCATTTAACATTGTAAACCTTTTTCCACAGTTCCAAGTTGATGTTTCGTGTTAGGCAAAAGCTATTGTTTAAATAAATGAAGTACTAGTTCTCCTGAAGTAATAGTAGCATCTTATTCTTATTGATGATCTGGAACATAAATCGCAGTTCTGGAATGGAATTTTTAACGCTCCTCTCTGGCCGGCGCTTCTTTCTGCCTTACCCTTCTTTTTCTTTCTTCCTCTTCCTGAGCTAAGCTCCATCCAATCAGGCATGAAAGAAAGCACGAATTGAAAAATTCAACCTCCCAAAGCTTTTACCCTTTCTTGATTAGAACTATTAATATCAAAGCCATAAAAATGGAGCAGTGTACTTATTTCTAGATATACGTTCTTCCTTTTGTAATGTTTTCGATTGTCTTTTCATCTCGTTTGTCAGTACATGCTTTTACATCTCTTCTTCACCTTGTTGGTAAAAGTGGCAAATGCTTTCTCTGTTATTTGAGGTTCAACTTTTAGTGAAAGCCTTATTATCTCTCATTCTTGCTTCACAAGTTGAAACCTGTAGTTTTAAACTCTTCATTTCTCATCCCTTTTTTAATCATGCAGTGGAAGCACTATTGTTGGCATTGGTTCACCAGATCCTCCACAATTTGTTTATGATGAAGATACATACAAAGATGTTTTCTTGTCAGGTATGCCCCATTAGGATTTTTTCTTTTTCTTTTTTTTTGGGGGGAGGGGGGAATTGTTCTCTATCATTATAAACTGAATGGCCCAGACCCAAAAGTGTGTCCCATAACTACACTAAAATCTGCTGGAAACATCTCCTACATTCACATATAATTGGCTGCAAAAAGTTTTCTCCAAGAACGAGACCTGCTAATTTTAAAAAATGTATAAAATTACATTATGCAGAAGGACTAGATTTTGAATAAAATGGCCAGCACATATATGTTATGGTAGTTTATCAAATTAACGAGATTCTGCTTCTGGTACCTTATCAAATTAAAGAATAGAATACGCAAGTACTTCTGCGGTTTGCATGAGGAATACTGCAATTTGATGCTTAGTCATTCCAGATACCTTTATTTTTGGACAAATATGATTCTCTTATCTCATATATCACTTTTGAGGCTGACAATGGGGTAAGAGAAAGCTTAGTCACTACTACTAGCTTAGCACTTAGTTCATAGAAAATAGTGAACTAAGCGGCAGAGCTTACTTGATGCCTCCTAAATCTTCAAACTCTCATAAAACTCAAGTTTAACAAAATTAAAGTGGAGCCAACCTCTTTCCCTTCTTGAAGTTTTACAAACTAGTTGTTTCCTCGAATGATAGATTTGATTTTTCAGGGATTTCTCACCTAAGCTTTTTAAATTGCAGATGCATATTTCCTCACTAGAGAGGCTAACCAGTGGTACAGAGAACCTACCTCAAGCCCTACCCCTTCGTCCTATTCTTCTCAGATTGCTTAATTAGTCTTCTTTCCATTTCCATAAGCCTCTACATGGTTATATATTATCTCCATATTGTAATCATGAAATGATGTAGAACTTAGCTCTGCTGCATTTTCTGCTTTAGTTGCTGCGACTTTCATGAGCCAAATTCAAGGATCTGGGTTCTCTGCTGTACCTTTATGCTGCTACAATTATAAAATTTTAATTTTTTATGGCAAAATTTTACAAAATGGAAATAATTTTCTTGCTATGGCTTTTTTAAAAAAATGATTGAATATTACAAATAAAAAAATAAATATAAAATATGAAGAAATGGCAGCACCATGGTGCTGCTGTTTCAGCAGCAAACATTAGGAAAAGGGCAAAAAGGCTGGCAATGTTTTGTATCAATACTAGTCCTGGGGAAGGAAGTGAAAAATAAATTCAATAAATATGTCTAGGGTCCCTCATGCTTGAGGATCCTCTGAATTTTTTGTGGAATAGTGATGATGGTTATTGTTTTGATGGTCTAACAATATCAAGAATTAGTTTTCATTTTTAATGATACAAGAAATCAAGGTAGAGACATCAAAACAATGTCCATGTTTGTTCTTTCGTTTTGTTGCCCCTTTATGTTGGATGTCATACACGCAAGCTTTGAGCATCCAATAGGAAATTATTTACTATATGTTCAACAAGATTAATCCTTCGAAGGCTTACCACGAGAACCAGAGTTGCTAGTTATATCATTTTTGCATACGTGATTGTATATACGTGAAATTCAAATTGCGTTTTTGAAACTCGAAATTACTGCACGTAAGTCGTTGGGCATAGGTGACTGACCGTATTCTGTGGGAATGAACAAGAAAAAGGATAATTGGATGCGATCCAACATGGGCTTACCACCAACAAACGACCTCTTTTTTTTTTTTTTTTTACATCGGAAGAACCAACATCAAATCCACACACATCAAATGTCTTTCTTTCATTTTATTCATTCAACTTCTCGCCACTCATTCTACAGAGAAGGAGAAGAAACAAACTGTCTCGGTAAACTAAACAGATCTTTCCCTTCAAATGGCGAACTCCACTCCCGAGACCCCCCATTCGAGGTTTCTGCAGAAGCTACTCCACCATCTTGCAATCCAGGCATGGGAACTAAGCTACCATTTGAGGCTACTGATCTCATTGATGGTTGAGTGACCACCCCGAGGCATTTGAATCGTATATATGACTAGTCTTCGTAAAAGGTGAAAGACCAAGCCATAATGCATTTGACCTCGGTGATGATACACTTCTATCCAAGGACCAGTCTATGCTGGTGTAATCAAATTGCATTGATCCACCAGTGCTCCAGTCCACTGGAGATGATGCCCCTGATGTAGCGGCCGACCCAGATCCAGAAAAGAGACCTAGAGAAGAAGCTGCAGCTAACGTTGGAGATGGACTTGTTCTATTCCATAAGTTGTTCCCTCGGCTGGTTACTTGGGGATCTACTGAATGGCTGCTTGCAGTGACAAATTGATGCTGATGTTGATACTGGAGTTGGTGGTACATCTGATTCGAGCTGAGATAGTTTGGACTGAGACTTCTAGTGCTAGGAGGGCGGGATAAAAAGCCGTTTGACCTCATTACTTCTGAACTGTTAGTCGGATACCAATTGGCAGCCAGTCCAGGAGGAGATGTGCTCATGCTTGTGGCTGGAACATGCTTAGCATTTGCAGATTGAGGCCGCTGCATGACAACTACCGGTTCCCTAGCTGCTCCGGGTTGAAGATTTTTCAAATCACCTCCAACAGCAATATAACGAGCTTCAGCCTTGGCAGGTACCGGTGACACCTGCAAAGGTGATGCTGAAGAATATGACACAGAAAGATTAGACCCGGCACTTGGCCACCTCTTATCAGCTGGAATAGTAGCTTGCTGGGGTTTCGCCCACTCTGTCTTTGATTGAATTCTCTTTAGAGGCTGAATATTTTTACTACTGGATTCCAAAGATCCTCCAACCATAACTGCCGATTTTGTGTAGTTAAAATCCTTTTCATCTTTCTTTAGTTGATTGAGGCTGAGACCGGGCTTCGTCTGGGGCCTAGCACTCTGACTAGCAACTCCTGACTGCTTACCATTAGTAAGAGTAGGTGGATACCCAGTTTCCTCAGGCTTTAGGGGAGCAGAAGGTGGATCCTGCTTCAATTCTTTCAAGGACTCTGCAGCTTTATCTAGATCACCTTCACATGCAACGACTGCTCTCTCAACCTCTTGCTTTGAGCAACAATGCCTTGTTTCCATGTCTGCAATCCGAGCAAGCTCTTCGGATATGTCGATTTTCAAAGTGCTCCCACCTATTTGTTTATCCTTTTGCTTATCTGTTTCTTCACCACCCTCAAACAGCCATGCAACTGATTCCTCAACCCTTCCTTCATTCAATATCAGTGCCATTGTTGCCCGTTCATGAGAAAATCCCATTGCCACAAGCTGTTGAGCAAGGGCTTCAAGTTTTCTTGACATAAGATAGCCACTGCAACGCTCATGCAATTCTTGAGCTCGCCTTTCCTTCTGTCGTTGATGTTTTCTCTCATTTTTCTGGCGGATTTTCTCTCGCTTGTCATTGTCAGCTCCTGGCACTGTTTCTAATCTAACAGGCAGATTAGAGGCTTTCTCTTTATGGTCCTCTGACTCACCAGACCAACTACCATTATTAGAAACAGAGTCATACTCAACACCAGCTAACAATGAGCCTGCAGGATGATCATCTGTCTCATCTATGTTCCGAAACCGACCATTAGAATGAATGGGAGAGGTAGAAGATGCCGGTGACATTTCAAGAGTATGGAATGTTCCTGATAACGGGTTGTATGCACTAGCAGGTAAACCAGCACCTGCATTATTAGACCCTGGAGACTTTGCAGATGCCTTCTGAGCTTCCTTGCTCCCCTTTTTGGACTTAGATCGAGATCCAGGAGACATGTCCTCAAAATGCAAATAATGCCCTGCAACAAAGAAACACACACACACACATATTAGAATTTCCCTCCTTTGAAAGTAGACCGTAGATTTGGTAGAGTTAAAATGTATCACAACTAAATACAACTATAAAAGAAAATAATATTATCTCCTTCACTATGTATATATATTTGGCTCATAACACCTACGTGTACGGATCTATTTGCAATCAAGCACTCATTTACAAAATAGAAAAAGACAAATGAATACAGACTACAAAGTTAATGAAAAGAGAACAAATAGAGACAGCAACACCCTAGTTTAACGCATATGAAATTAAGTTAAAATGAGCAAGGATATAAAGATGAACAGGACAAACCAAGAATTACAAAGTTGACACAAAGGGATAGACATTACTTAAAATGGCTTTCAACATGCAAGTAAATGTATGCACAAACACAGATTATTTTTATCCATTGTTCTACATAATGAACTGCAACTTATTTGTTTATTATGTTTCTATTTAGAAAATTCAGCACTGTGACTTATCACGACGCCATATCCTTTACACCAAAATTCAACATGCGGCCAAAATTGAACATAGTGAAAGTAGTACTTTTCCAGTAGAACAAAGCCAAACAGCAATACAAAAAGTAGCTACAGGACAAAAAGTCTTGAAATAAGAGAATTTCATGAAAACACTAGTTAAGTCTAAATTACTATATTACTAGCTGCAAGACACATAATACATCTAATTTAATGCCCATTCTTCTAAACAAAGTTACAATTTCAGATACAATATCTCTCTCTCAACAATAAGAAGCTTATTTAATGCCCATTCTTTTCAAAGTTTTAAGTATCTCCATTTCCCTTCAAAATCATAGAGACAGTATCATAACCGTTCAAAATTCCTTATGTATCAGTCCCCTCACCTCAGAATAAATAAATTGGCCTTGTTTGTCATTCAATTCAGAATGACCTAGCTTGCACTTGCATGACCATATTTCAAGAAGCATAAGAAACACAAATTCCCAATCAAATAAAAGAGATATATTGCTTGCTCAACTGATTATAGCACATTCAATATTTCTACATATCTCCAACTGTCCAACATTAAACAGAGGTCAATATTGCAGATATAATATATTCACTCTGGAGCATGATTGTACTTCAAACAAAAAGAGCATCAATGTCAACATAAAAAATTTTAAACGCAAAATATAGATAAATTGTATGCCTATGTACCGAATAAGCGTCAGGGATGCCTACAATAATTACTTCAGACCTTACATGTAGAAAGTCTTGTATAATCTAAATAATGAAGACCCCTTTGCCTATCAATCAAATTCAACATTTATGATCTACCTCGCCCTTTATTTAAAGAGCTATATATATATATATATATAGCACAGATACTTTCAAGTTCCTTGGCCCATTGGCAACACAAAGTTGGATACATTATAAGCACACACTGCTGAAATCATATCATGAAAAGCAAACACCAGATGGGCATAGATGCAGAGACTATTATAGTGTAACTAAAACTCAAACTTTTTTACCAAAAAAAAAAAAAAACTCAAACTTAATGTTCCGCCCCAACTATGTTCCAGAATGTCACAATTATTGGCCTTCTTCTCTTAATTTTCAAAATTCGGCAAGCAGCCAGATACCAGTTACCCATTAAATGGACGTTTATGCCCCGAAAGTTACAGCTTTCTAGAGAAAATGAATAGATTGCAAATAATTGCTAAATAAGAAAAACTCACAAATCCACATTTAATTGATATTATTAAGATGAAGAAGCTGCAACCATCCAAGAAGAACTAAAAGAACGTAAAAGCCACCGCGACTCTCTAGGATCCATAATACTTCATCCAAGTCAAGAGAACCATTGCAAAAGAGCCTAGAGTCCCAATTCCCGCCCCGCAAAATCGACAAATTAGAATGCAGAATCCAAATCACTGAATTCAAATAATCACACAAACCGAACCCTAAAGCACAATTCTATCCTCCAACAATCAATACAGCGGCTAATTCGAATAAGATCATGAGGCGGGATATGAGGAAATGGAAATAACAACGCAGAGAAGGACGAAACGGCGAGCCACCAACCTGAAGTCCGAGAGAAAATAGCGTTGACGATTGATACAGAGATCGTTATTGAATGACAAAATCGTTTAGAAGCTAGGGAAGGGAATATGGTAAGAGAGATAGGTTTTTCGAGGCTCAAACTGAATTTGGTAGAATTAGGGTTTTGAAGAAATGGAGATCTGAGAGGAGAAAAAACTCC